CCCCCGTCCCCCCCCCCCCAAAAGGCCACAAACAGCCCCCCCCAGCCAGTGGAATTGAGGGTGGTTTATTGCTCCTCCAGGATACAGCACAGCACAGATGTAATCTGGTTACAGGAACTGGGGCTAAGAGGCCTCAGTGCCCCCCTTGAGATAGGGGAGTCCCAGCCCCCCTCCCCAGCTCCTTCTCCCCTGCTTTCCAGACAGGAACTCACTAACCCTCTTCCAGCCCTGCCCCCCAGCCAGGGCAGCATTCCACCTTCCTTTGTTCCTCTCCATGGGGGGTGGCTGGCCATACTGGTTGCATAGTGACTCATCCTGTTTTGCTGGGTCGTGGTACCCACGGCAGCCAGTGGGGGTTACCCCAGAGCCAGCAGCATAGAAACCAGCCAGGTACCCCCACTACGTCACAGCCCGTGTCTGGGAGAGGCGGCGCACGGAGATCTGGAGTCTTACGCAGGTAAGAGCCATTCTCGACCTCTCTACTAGAAGTATTAGAGGTGCTCCCTCCCCCCAGCCTTTTATCGAATACCTCTGTGCTCCCTCCAGTCAGGCAACCCCTCCCAGTGAAATTCCAGGGGGGGAAATCCCCCGAGAACACTTTAATCTCGCAAGGCTCCCATAGCTGCTGACACAGGCAACTTCCTGAGCTCTCCCAGACAGCTGCTGAAGCTTTTCCTTTCTGCTTGTGACTGCCATAAAGTCACTGGCCTGGATTCTGTTCTGGAGCCTCTTTGGACCGTGCCTCTTCTATAGGCACAGGCGTCTCGTGCGTCTCTCCAAACACGGGAACAGGCTGCTCCGCCGTACGGCTCGCCGTCCTCTGGGCAACCACAAGGAATTTGTTGGGACACGGGGGTTTTATTCCAGAGAAAAACTCATGGGAAAGTTAGGAGCTTGGGACAGATTGTGATCAACTGTGTGTTGGTGTCAGACAGACAGTCATTGGAGCTGTTTCCACCTAGCTCTTTTTCTGCCCCTTTGCTACCTGGGTGTGCGGGTGGCATCTTGACATTGCTTTTCCAAGAGAAGGAAAGTTGTCTATGACTTTGGGTACGTCTAGACTACAAGCCTCTGGCAACAGAGGCATGTAGATTAGGCTACCCGGGATAGGAAAATGAAGCAGCGATTTAAATAATCGCCGCTTCATTTAAATTTAAATGGCTGCCGCGCACTAGTCTGGACGCTCCGTGGTCGACGTCAAAGGCATTTGTTGACCTCCCCGGTATGCCTCGTGGGATGAGGTTTATCCGGGAGGTCGACAAATGCCTTTGGTGTCGACCGCGGAGCGTCCAGACTAGCACACTGAGCTGACAAACAGCTGATCGGCACAGCACGGCAGCCATTTAAATTGAAATGAAGCAGCGATTATTTAAATCACCGCTTCATTTTCCTGTGCCCAGTAAACAAATCTACACAGCTCCGTCCACAGAGCCATGTAGTGTAGCCATAGCCTGAGTCACGGATGGCGCAGCTCGTACCAGAATAGGCGCCTCGAGAAATACGAGAGAGCTTTGGAAACTGGGCTTGTGCTGTGGCTGTTTTGTCCTGCATTACGAACCGAAATCTTGGTCTGTGGGTTAAAGTGTGGTGGTTCCGCACTCAGGCAAAGCCATTTGCTCTCTGTTGAACTGCTGGACACCGCAGATAATGATCTATTGGTTTGCTAAGATCTGCCTGTGCTCTTCCTGCTGCTGCTGCTGCTGGCCATGGTGCCATGTCACTTTCTCTCTGTGTCTAGTTATTATTCAGGAAATCTTCACGCACTGTCTCCGGGCTCTGGACCCTCCCTTCGGCAATGCTGTGTATTATAAGTGCATGAGCAGGAAGAACCTGGGGACAGGAGAGTGGAGGATATTGTGTCTAGGAGAGGCCGTGTAACTCTCTGCTGTCCCACTTGCTCGAGCTGCAGGATGGAAACATATAGATTAGTACAGGTTGAACCTCTCTAGTCCGGCACTTTAGTCTGGCAACATCCATGGTCTGGCAACATTAGAGTTCGCTGAATGTCCAGTTAGCATGAGTGTGGCCAAGTTCCCGCAGTGCCAAAAAGTTTGTTTACAGCCACCAGTCTTGGCTCTCTGTTTTCTCCAAATGTCAGTTGTGTTGACGTGTCCCCCAGACTTCTCTCGAGTACTCCTAAAGGTACTCGTACCACTGGTTGAGACACGGCTACATTTCTATCACTATTCCACTGGTTGAGAAGCACTGTGCTAGGCGATATTGACCTCCTGCAGTCTGGCAAATTCTCTGGTTCAGCACCAGTCAGGTCTTGAGGGTGCCGGACTAGAGAGGTTCAACCTGGATTTCGTTCTTTCTATACATTGCAGGCACATCTCGAGGTTCCAGCTGAGACCAGGGCCCCGCGGCAGGAAGCGCTAACACACTAAACAGATGAAGGGTTGGAGGGGCAGGTGAAGCACAGAGAGGTGAAGTTACTTGCCACGTCACAGAGCAGATTAGTGGCAGAACAGAGACTCAGGCAGTGGTTTCCTGCGACCCGCACCGGTGTCCTGCGACATAACTGGTGGGAGAAAATGACAGTAGCCAAAGAATCTCACATTTGCCCGCACAGCACCAGATCTTGCAATGCTGATAACGCTGTCTCTTAAATAGCTCTGCAGTAACAAGGCCTTCAGGTTTTTGCCAGTATCTTTGCTTATCCTTCCCAATGACCCCAACCACCAGCACGGCCACGAAGGTGTTAGACTCCGAGCTACTTTTCTCACACCAGGGTAAATAGGAATTACACCCCTCTCAAGCCAGTTTCTTCCCCCGCCCCCATCGGATTTTTGCCCCAAACTCATGTAAGTCTCCTGTCGGAGTTTCCGTGTTTCCCGCCCCCAGCATTCCTGATCCCGAAGGCATTTGTGTGAAGATAGGAACTGTCTCCTTGCTAATCACCCTCCCTCTCCCATCCACTGATTGACTCAGTGATATCCCGGAGCAGCATGTAAGGCACTGTAGTCAATTTCAGGATGACTCAGGGGGCAGATTCAGGCTGATAGCTGCGGTTTGCATGTGAATGCCATGGGGTTCAGCTGTGCTGGGAGATGAAAGGCAGGAAGAGGCGCAGAGGCCGCATAACCAGAGCTGACTAATCCAAGCCTGCTGGGACCTTTGGGGTTTGGCTGCCGTGGCCCCTGGTCTAACACCCCTCCCCACGCACACTCCCGTTTGCAACCTAACCCACTAGGTCAAGAGGTCCAATATCCCTGGGCCTTGGGATCTTTGAACCAGGCTGTAGCCCAGCTTTGAAACTACCCGTCCGCATATGATGCAGGTTGAAGAAATGGGTGAGATGTTGAAACATCCTGGTTCTTTATGCCTGGCCTGAGGACAGAAGAAACTTTTTCAAGTTAGTGTGAAAACCAGATCTGCATATCGTGCGATATTTTTCCAGGGTGGCTTGTGGGAATTTCTCTGATCACAACACGAGCTTGTCTAGTCTTTGTTGAGGGGTGACCATGGAAGCAGATGAGTAGGCTCAGCATAGGAAGCCTGTTGCCAGGGGATCCCAATGCAATTGAGGGGCGCTGTCCTGCCTTCATCCAACGTGTCATGTGCTCTCTGGGGCACTCCTGAGTTCCAGGCAGGCGGGAGGTCTGACCCCAGAAATCTGGTGTTGATGTGCCGGAGAGGAGGCAGAACCTACCTTCGAGGACACTGCTGAATTCTGGGGGAGGAAGCTGTAGAGAAAACATCGATCGCCTCGTGGTATCCAAGGCAGCACCTCGCTGGAGCCCAGATGAAAACAGTGACATGTCCGCAGCCACAGCCATGGCGGGGGTTGAGGCTGGCTTTGCGTGGCCGTGACTGAAGCACAGAGGGCTGGCGTGGCTTTGCCTGGTTTGCGAGTGCTAATGTCGAGGAGTGGCAGGAAGGGGAAGGGATACGTTGCCTGGCCCCAGAAATGGCAGGCCGCTCATAATAATGGTGACCAGGACCAAAATACTCAAACTCAGCCCCCCCTTTTCCCACCATTGTCCTCGGTTCGCGTTTATCTGAGGTGTGAGCCACAAGAATTGAAGCTGGTGTTATTCGTCGGAGGCAGGGCTGCTCTTGAGTGATGCCTTCGTGGTGATAGGACTGGGTCAGGGGGCTCTCCGGGGAGATGGCCATGTCTGTCACCATGGAGACGCTGGCGTGGCGACGGCCTCGATCCGTAGCATACGGCCACGTTACGTCTCATTGCTCTGCAGACACCTGTCTGAGATGATTTGCCATTGTCTGTACAGTGCCAAGAACAGGGATGAGAACTGTATGTTTAACCAGTTAACAGGCCCACCACCCTCGGTCCGCCATGTTGGGCCCAGCTGGGCTGGAACAGCCTCCTTTCCGCACTACCCCATGGTGGGCTGCGAGCACAGGCCAGGAGCCGGTTAACTGGTTGCCCTGACAAGCATGCCAGTAAGGCAGTGCTTACTGGATAACCGGTTAAACGGTTCCCCCTTTATATCCTTAGCCTAGAAGACCCATGACCAGATCGCAAAAGCCACCCCCCACATTAGATGTGATAGCTGCCAACTTGCCACTCTTGTGAACACCACGAGCAGAGAGGTTAAGGGTTTAACAGGCCGGGAATTAACAGTGCAGCCTTAGCGGTGTCCAAGGCATTCGGCCCTCCATTTGAGAAGATCTGCAGTTTCAGGAGAGACTCAGAAAAGCCGGGATGTGGCTGCAGCAGAAATGCAAGCGTCAAGTTCTAGGCAAGATTGTGTTTGTTACAGATCTTGTATTCATGATCACTGCAGCAGGCAGAGAAAAGCCGCTTCCTTCGTGGTCTCCATCCTCTAGCCAGGCCAAGGTCGGGAAACACAGCCCGTGACGTTTACACGTCCTCTGTCTGAAGAAGAATATTCTCCAGAGTTGACTCCCAGCACTGTTAGCTACTCCCCTAGCAGAGGCGGTTTACATGGAGCGCTAGGAGATCTCTCACCGAGTACTCGTGCCGCAGCCGCGCGTTAAACTGTTAAGCATAGACAACGTCTACTCCTCGACTTTGGGTTTTTTTGTTTGGTGATTCTCTAACAAATCAGCAGGGTAGATTATTGCCCTTCGGACCTTCGTATACAGCGGCGTCACGTCAACTTGGTGATGGTAGCAATGGAATGCAAACGTACCCTCTGCAGATGCCGTTCTTCCTGGGTGTTTCCAGCCCCCTTTTTCTAACTACCTGGCTTTCTGGGTTAGTTGGTGAGGCTTTTCTTCGGCTGGTGTGCCTGAAAGTTCCTTCCCTGGGAGAGCTACCCAGTGACCTGCATATGGTATCGGTGGAAAAGACAGTCTGTGTTGCTTTGTTTATAAGAACATATTTCCCGTGATTGATGTCTGAGCTGCGGAAGTATGTTTGCAAGTTAGACTTTAAAACATGAATCAAACACTGTTTGGAATACGTATGCTTCTCTGTCAAACATTTCGCTTCGCCTGGAGTCTGCACAAGCCTGTTTTTTTCCAGAGGTACCATTGCCTGCCTGGAAATAGCAAGGGGAAAAGCATTTATTCTAGAGGGCCATCTCCCAGGGTAATTGTCAGACTCCGGGGCGTGTGCTCAGCCATACACTGCATTCATGGAGAGCTTTTTTCCACAGTACATCCCAGGGGACACATGCCAGTGTGGGATGGGAGTGACAAGCAGCAGACAGATGTCCAGAGAGTGTCATAGCCAATGTCTGCTACCTTGTGACATATTGGGAGAAAGCTAAGCACAGGAGCGGTGCGACCTCTAAGATGAGCAGTTGGGCAGCTACTCAAGAGAATCAGGTGGCGCCCAGCTGCTTAGCAGAGCACCCATACCCACCCATAGCTGACAGCATGTGTTTCTAATAGTGGTGCGCATACGCACATGCTTTGGTGCACATAGCAAAATTTATTCCACCCATGGATGGAAAAAATTAGAGGGAAAACATGACCTAGGAGAGAAGACTGAAAGAACTGGGCTTGTTTAGTTTAGAAAAGAGAAGACCAAGAGGGGACATGAGAGCAGTTTTCGAGTATCTAACAGGGTGTCACAAGGAAGAGGGAGAAAAATTGTTCTCTTTGGCCTCTGAGGATAGGATAAGAAGCAATGGGTTTAAATTGCAGCAAGGAAGATTTAGGGTGGACACTAGGAAAAACTTCTTAACTGTCAGGGTGGTTAAACACTGGAATAAATTGCCTAGGGAGGTTGTGGAATCTACATCACTGGAGATATTTAAGAGCAGGTTAGACAGACACCTGTCAGGGATGATCTAGACGGTGCTTGGTCCTGCCGGGAGGGCAGGGGACTGGACTCGATGACCCCTCGAGGCCCCTTCCAGTTCTAGAGTTCTATGATTCTATGATGCCAATGCTGGCCCCTATGTTACTGGCCTGAAAATAGATGGTGAGGTGCCTAGAGAGAGAATTCAAGGCTCTCTGAGAAAGCTGTTCCTACTCGCGCTGAGGGGGTGAGTTCCACAGAGTGCTCCTAGAGGGGGCCACCCTGTCCCTTAGGAGCTGGGGCGACACCGAGTCTCTTCAGTTGGCAGCTGTTGAAAACACACCAGAAGGACCTCCGCTGGAATCGCCACACTGCGGGGCCGTCTAGCTCCCTAGGGCTAGAAAGAAGCATCCTCCGAAGCTTCTGAACGGGTCTCAGGATCCTAAACTAGAGGAGCGATCCAGACCAGCAGTTCCTATGTTGTCTGCATAGTGCCCAGAGGACACGTGACTACATCCCCAAAACCACCCCCGCCACTATATCCAGTAGCTGCCAGCTAGCTACCCTTGGCTAGCACAGGGACTAGGGATAGAATTACAGGCCTGCCCATGGGGAGGGGGGTGTTGTCCCAGGGCCTGGTGATTCAAAGGCGTCTGGGGGTCCCAACCTGGCTAGAGCCCTGGGCCCTTTAAATTGCCGCTGGAGCATCCTGGAGGGCTGGCTGGCTCTGCCCCTTCTATCTGAGGCCCCGCCCCTTTTGCCTGAGGCCACACCCCTTCTAGGAGCACAGAGCCGGCCTCGCCCCCCGCCTTGCCCAAGGGCCCAGGGAGGCTGTTGGCTCCGCTGTAGATTTATAAAGGCCTGTATGGAGCTAGCTCCCTGTGCTTTCAATGGGACATTAACTCCCTATACAAATCCGACTTGAAGGGTCTGATCAGAAGCCTATTGACATCAGTGGATTTTGGTTCTGCCCCTTTGAAGTGACTGCAGTTTTCTAGCTGGCAAAAGAACGTATGGAGCAACCGCTGAGCGCTACCTCCGGTGCGCTAGTGCAGCCGCGGCGCATCTCGCGGTTCTGCTTCCAGCCCGTTCCTCCTTTCCTCTCTCTCCAGGGCGCTTACTCTGTGCCGCACCTCCTCAGGGGACTGTCTGGCTGCAGAGGGTCCGGCTGTCAGACGACATGCAGCTCTTGACACTTGCCAGCGGCGGGAATGTTCCAAGCCAACTTTTACTCCAGTCTCATGGAACAATGTGATGGCCAGGCCGATACCTGGGAGGAAGAGGAGAGCTGCTGACGCACAGGTGAGCTGAGTATTTTAATTGCTGGCCTGAAACGAGGAGCGGGAAGCTGACGCGGGTGTTTGCGCTGCCTGGGGTCGTGGGGACCAGGCATTTCAGAATGGTCCTGTCCGGCATTCCCTGTCAGCTGCGCACTTGTGCGGCCGCTCAGGAGAGTTTCCAGTGCTGCCCTGTTGATCAGCAGAGCGCTCACAGCTAGGTTTTGTGTTTTGGCTGTGGTGCACATTCACAGATGCCTGGGCGCACGAAAAATTATTCTGCACAGGTGTGGAAAAAAAATCTGCAGATGGATGAAAATGATGAGAGGGAACTTTGCTCCTGACCCATCGGGAAGCAGGACAGAATTGGTTCTTGGCACAGCTCTTTCAGCCATGCCCATCACTGGCCGTTCTTTTTTACGGCACATCAAACTGTCCCATGGGAAATCTGAAGAAGGTGGGTTTATTGAAGCGGCTCTTTAGGACCGACTCGGCGGTAGGGTTCCTTCCTCTGGCGGTCACCCGAATGCCTGCGGATGGAGCCAAGGAATGAGTCGGATGATTGTGCTCCAGATGTTCAGAGGATTGAAAAAGCTTTAAGGCCTTGATCCTCCAAAGCATTTAATCACCTGTGTAATCCCACAGGCATTGGCTTCAGTGAGATGACTCCGGTGCTTGAAGTTAACGATGTGCTTTGCAGGATCAAGGCCTGAGAGATTTATATGTGCCGATGGATTCGATTGTGATTTCCCTCCTCCTGCCTCTCTGGCAATGCTTGTCTCTGCGTCCTTGTCCATTTCCCCCAGGCCATTGTCTGCAATTCACAGACCGGTGTGGGCATCCTCCCAGTGGCTCATACCCACTGGTGCTGCCTTTAGATGTACTGAGATGTTCTCAGGGTCTGGGGTCGAATCCACTTAACCTTGCTTTAAACGTTGTGCGGGAATCAAAGGGCAGGAATAAATGGTGAATTTTCAGAATGGAGACAGGTAACTAGCGGGGTCCCCTAAGAATCCATCCTGAGACCCATCCAATTCACCCTATTGGTAAATGATCGGCAGAAAGGGGCAAACAGTGAGCTGGCAAACTTTGCAGACGCTACCAAACTGCTCAAGATAGTTAAGGCTGAAGCAGACTGTGAAGCACTTCAAAAAGATCCCCCCAAACTAAGTGATTGGGCAACAAATTGGCAAATGAAATTTAATGTGGATCAATATAAAGTAATGCACTGGGGAAAAAATAATCCCCACTACACATACAAAATGATGGTGACTAATTTAGCTATAACCACTCGAGAGAGCGATCTTGGAGTCATTGTGGATAGGTCTCTGAACACATCCACTCAATGTGCAGCGGCAGGCAAAAAAGCAAACAGAAAGTTAGGAATCATTTAAAAAGGGCTAGAGAATAAGACCGAGAATATCTTATTGCCTCTATATAAATCCATGGGACGTCCACATCTTGAATACTGCGTGCAGATGTGGTTGCCTCATCTCAAGAAAGTTAGCTTGGCCTTGGAAAAGGTTCAGAAAAGGGTAACAAAAATGATTAAGGGCTTGGAACAAGTCCCATATGAAGTGAGATTAAAAAGACTGGGACTTTTCAACTTAGAAAAGAGAAGACTAAGGGGGGATATGGTAGAGGTCTATAAAATCGTGACAGGTGTGGAAAAAGTAAATAAGGAAAAGGTCCCATAACATAAGAACTAGGGGTCACCAAATGAAATTAATAGGTACAGGTTTAAAACAAATGGAAGTTTTTTCTTCCCGGGCACATGCAGGGAGAGACCAGACCAGACCCATCCATTCCGACTGGCTCCGTGGGCCTCTCATGCCCCCAGCACCTTGGCATGGCCTGGCTGAGAATCAGCTGGCTCGCCACTCGGCATCTACTGGCCCTCCACCTCTCTGAGCCGGCGGCCGAGCAGCAAGCTCTGTAGGAGGGCTATCTTGTGGGTTAAGGGGGACCCCAGGTGTGTATAGCCCAATGATCAAATAAAGGAATAATATTAATTAATTGTTATTAATACATAAATAACTAGGGGTCGCCACATGAAATTAATAGGTACTGTAGTAAGATTAACACAAACAAAAGGCAGTTTTTCTTCATGCAGCGCACAGTCAACCTGTGGAACTCCTTGCCAGAGGGTGATGTGAAGACCAGGACTTTAACAGGGTTCAAAAGAGAACTAGATCAATCCATGGAGGTTAGTCCATCAATACCTGTTAGCCAGAATGGGTAGAAATGGTGTCCCTAGCCTCTATTTCTGTTTGCCAGAAGCTGGGAATGGGTCACAGGAGAGGGCTCACTTGATGATTCCCTGTTCTGTTCACTCCCTCTGGGGCATCTGGCATTGGCCACTGTCAGAAGACAGGATCCCTAGCCACTGGGGTCAGCGAGCTCTGCTGAAGGCAGGGAGCTCCACTGGGGCCAGAACTCCCCACCATGCTGTCCATCCTCCTGCCACACACACTCGGCTCCCAGCTGAGTCACTGGTGCCCTTTACGGAGCCCCTGCCATGCCGCCAGACCTCCCTCTTTCAGGGCTCTGTGGAACATCCCGGTTCCTGGTTAAGGGAGATACAACTATACCTCCTCATCTAGATTGGGATGGGTATTTGTGAGCATAAAGGTAATTAAAAAAAACACCTAAGTCTGTCTGGAGAGGAGATGGCCACAGAAAGGTTTTACAATTCAAAAGCCACACATCTTATTAGGGTATGAGTAATGAGTGAAAATGTAACTGGAAGGGGATCCATGTGCATTCAACCATCTCATGCTGGTTTGAACCTGTAGACAGAATATAATTAATAAAATACAACATGGGTGCCTGTTCAGAAAAAAATCAATCATGGTGAGGAAGTGGTTTTCTCTGTCTCTCACACAGTCACAAGCTAAGAAGTTTAAAAATTCCTCCCCCTCCTTGTGCCCAGGGTGTTTACTCTCCTTTAGCTCCCTCCCCCACTGGGTTTTTTCTTTCCCCTCTGCACTCCATAGTTGTCTTTTTTTCTTTTTCCCTAGCAGTAGGACCAGGGTGAGGGGAGAAAGGGTTCAGGGTAGGGGGGCTATTTACTCGATGTGCTGGCAAACAAGATGATGGATCCCCAGTCCTGCTGGGTACTCCCTTGGTGGCGCAGCTTCCCCCTGTAAATACTCTCCCCTGTAGGTTTGCTGCCCCATGGCCAATCTCATATTGTGTCCCTCTGAACAGCAGCTCCCTCCCTTTGCATATTATGGAAAATAGTCCTTTTCCCAGGGCTTCTGGTTGTCCTGGCACAACCAAACCCTGGCCTAGCTTTAAGTTAGGAAAAGAGGAAGATGTATACCAAGTTTGGTGGTCTGTCTCTTGCCATTTAGGAGGAATTCTTGAACACATCGACTCTCAGATAGACACACAGACAGACACCCTCTAAAACAGATGGACTGAGGTTACTGCTAGACTGTCTTTTTTTGCGGAAGAGGCTATGCAAATCGTGCTCGTATTTGCATATCTTCTTCCGATTCTTTTCACAGAAGAGGTTTTGCTGATAAAAGGTCCCGTGTAGATGGGGCCATATATTGAAAGAACCCTCTTTTGTAAGATCCATTATTCCTCAAAAATCAAGGTTTATAGGATCTTGCGAAAGAGAGTTTTTTCCCCACAAATGGCCCTGTCTACACGGGGCTTTTTATTGGCAAAACCTCTTCTGCAAAAAGAATCAGAAGAAGATGTATGGAAGTATGCCTAGGCTGGAAGGGACCTTGAAAGGTCATTGAGTCCACTCCCCTGTCTTTACAGCAGGACTGAGTACCAGCCCTGACAGCTTTGACCCAGATCCCTAAATGGCCTCCTGAAGGATTTAGCAAGCCAAGCAATGCTTAAACCACTGACCCATCCCTCCCCACATAGCCTCAGCTTAAAAAAAGCAGTAGTGTAGCCATAGCCAGAGAGAGAGAGATTTTTATAAATCTTGGGCTTCTAAGATTGCAGGCATATTTTCATACATTTTGAGTGCTGCAAATATCCAATAGGCTTCTGTTTCCATTCACTCCCTCTCGCTTCACCTCTTTGCCATAAGAACGAGGAATAGAAAATTGAGCTTAATATTTGTTAGACAAAAAATTGGTTAAGCTTGCTCTTGATACATAGGAAAAGCATATTTTTTCATCATTAGAAAGGACACTGTTGAACATGATAATATGGACTAATTTCTACACAGCTCTGTGTGAATTCAGTTTATTAATCTTAATTTTACAATAAAAACCACTCTTCCATATCCATCTGTCATCTCAGAGCAGCAACTAGCCTGTTAACATCATCCACTACCTGTGCTTTTGCATTTTAACACCATGGAAAGGATTTCATGCTGTGAGAAAATACAAAGATGATATTTGCGGCAAGACAGATTCATAGACATGTATGTATTTATAATTTGGAAAACTAGGTGAACGCCTGCAGATAGTTGCCAAATGATCAAACGATGTATTGATGCAAATGCATGGATGACATAGCCTTTCCTGCTCTGGGAATAAGATTAGTTGTATGTGTTGTTGTCAAGGCTGTTCCCCACTCTAGCACGATGAATGCAGAAGTTGGGGGCCCACAGGAGCACTCCAAAACCTTGCTTCTACAGGCTCTGGTACAAAAAACTCCCCCCCTCCACAAAATCCTAATACCCAGATTTTGGGGGACCCACTGCCACCACCCAAGTAATTCCCAGAAAATCAGGGAAGAGAACACTTGGGAAATCCCCTCCCTAAGGTAAATCACTAAGGATACAATAATCAACCAATACCAGTTAATAAGAAAAAAACCCACAATCTTCTATTATCAAAAGAAACTTACAGTTGCAAGTATAGTAGATTGGCTAGACGGGAAGAGCCACCATTTGACACAGATACTCAGGGAAAACCCATTGGGTTGTAAGATTTAAGCTATGTCTAGACTACAGGGATTTTTTTTAAAAAGTGGCCTTTTTTCGAAAAATCATCACCTGTGTCTAGACTGCCAGTGTGCTCTTTCAAAATTAAATGAAAAGAACACAGG